TTTGTACTACTGATCTTATATCTTGACACCTTAATGAACTCATTTCTTCTAATAATTTTTTGGTGGATTGCTTAGGCTTCTCTATATTCATAGAAGATTATGTCATCTTCAAATAGAGATAGCTGTACAATTGTCTTTGGAATCTGTCATTTCTTTCATTTTATTTAATAATTGGCTTGACTTATGCTGAATTTCAGTGACAAGAGCAGACATCCTTTTCTTGTTTCAGATTTCAGGGGGGAAAGCACCTGGTCTTTCTCCATTAACTGTGATATTAGATATGGGTATTTTATAGATGAACTTTATCAGATTGAGGGAGTTTCCTTCTACATCTGGTTTGTAGAGTGTTTTTTAATTGTGAATGGGTATTGAATTTTGTCATATGCTTTATCTGCATCTATTGAGACTATCAAGCAGTTTTTGTTATTCTATTAGTAAGATGCATTAGATTAATTAATATTTAGATATTAAGCCAGCCTTGCATTCCTGTGATAGATATCATGTAATAATCATGTATAGTTGTCTTATATATTGCTGGATTTGCTTGATAGGCCTGTATCATACATTATACTGGCCCTTTTCTTTTTTGTGTTATTTGTCTTATTTTGGTGTCAGGGTAACACTGGCCTCATGGTATTAGCTGGGAAGTATTCCCTCCTTTACTATTTTTTGGAAGAGTTTATAAAGAATTTCTATTAATTTGTCTTCAAATGTTTGATAGAATTTACCATTTAAGTCATCTGGGTATAGATGTTTCTTTGTGGTTGTTTTTTCCCTTTGACTACTAATTCAGTCTTTTTACTTGTTATAGGTCTATTCACATTGACTATTTCTTCTTATGTCAGATTTAGTCATTCATGTCTTTCTAGAAATGTGTCCATTTTCAACTAAATTGTCTGCTTTATTGGCATACAGTTGTTCACTGTAGTTATGATCCTTTTTATTTCTATAAGATTGGTAGTAAAGTTTCCTTTTTCGTTTCTGTTCTTAATTAAGTTGAATCTTCTTTCTCTCCCTTTCTCTCTCTCTCTCTCTTTTCTTGGTCAGTCTAGCTTAAAAGTTTATCAGTTTTGTCGATATTTTCAAATAACCAGCTTTTGGCATCACTGATTTTCTCTATGTTTTTCTCTTCCCAATTTCATTAATTTTTTGTAATCTTTATTTGCTTCCTTCTCTTTGCTTTAGTTTTAGTTTGCTCCTCCTTTTCCAGTCTCTTAAGGCAGATTTGGTTATTGATTTGAATTATTTCTTCTTTCTTAATATAGACATTTACAGCTCTAAATGTTCCTCTGCATACTGCTTAATGGCATCCCATGAGTTTTGCTATATTGTATCTTTATTGTCATACATCTCAAGGGATTTTCACGTTTCCCTTTTAATTTCTTCTTTGATACATTTATTATTGTATTCATGTTCTAGGACTGCTATAACAAAGTATATCACAAATCAAGTGGTTTAAAACAACAGAAATTTATTTTCTCACAATTCTTAAGGCTAGAAGTCTGAAATCTAGGTACCAGCAAAGTTAGTTCCTTCTAGAGAGTTCAGAAAGACAGTAAGTTCAATGCTTCTCTCCTAGCTTTTAACAGATACTGGCAACTTTTGGCATTTGTTGTCTCTGAGCATATCACTCCAGTCTCTGCCGCCATCATCATGTGTCAGTGATGAGATCGCTGTGTGTCTCTGTGTATTCACCTGGTGTCCTTCTTTCTTTGTATCGCTTTCCTCTTATAAGAACACCAGTCATACTATATTAAGGGTCCACACTTTTCCAGTATTTCCTCATCTTAACTAGTTATGTCTGCAAGAACACTACTTCTATATAAAGTCACATTCTGAGGAACTGTCAGGACTTCAACATATCTCTTTGGGGTACAAAATGTAGCCCATAACAGTCCTATAAGAATGTGTTTTTAAATTTCCATAACCTTTTGAAGATTCTAGATTTCTCTTTTGTTGTGGATTTCATTGTGGTCAGAGAACCTATTTTATATTATTTTTATCCTTTTAAGCTAATGAGGCTTGTTTTATTTCCTAGCATTTGGTTTAGCCTGGGTAATGTTCCATGTATACTCAAAAAGAATATATATTCTGCTGTTGTTGGGTGGAGTACTCTGTACAAGTCTCTTAGGCCTGTTTATTTATTTTTGCACCGCTGATCTGGTATCTTGAAACCTTGATGATCTCATTTAATACCTCTAATGCTTAGGCATCTGTGTAGGCATGTAAGATTATGTCATCTTCAAATAGAGATAGTTGTACAATTCTCTTTCAATCTGTTTGCCTTTTCTTTCTATTTATTAATTGTCTGGCTTGTGCTGAATATAAGTGGCAAGAGCAGACATTCTTCTCATTCCTGATCTAGTGGGGAAGAAAATTGTCTTTTGCCCTTAAGTAATGAGCCTCCCAGTATTAAGCCTTTGATGTTGATCCTCAAAGGGTACAGCATTGGTTTGCCCACAGTCACCCTGGAAGGACAGTTATTTTGGCATGTCTCTTTGACTGTCTCTTAAGTTCCCTACTCTTAAGTTCCAACAGCCATCAGCTGGTGGCTTTATTGTTTACAACAGTGCTCTAGGGGGGCCATTGCTTTACAGACAGATTCAGTCAAATGTGGACTCCTTTCGAGGCCCATATCCTTCGCTTGGTTATTTGAGATTTGTCTCACCATAGGATGACTCCTCCCTGCCACCTCTTTCCCAGTTTCTCCTCAGCAAACTTTCCAAACTACTGTTGAGTCTGTATCTCCAATAATTCTATCCATGTCCTCTCAATTGCCTCTTAGCACAACATCCACTCTTCATGGGAGTACCTCTAGGCAACTGATATTTGATAGTAGGTGATAAAAGATTATAATCCTTGAGAAAAGGGAAACATTTCAACTCCCACCTTTATCCAGTTGGGGACAATTTCCTGACTCTAGCACAGGGTAGTGGAGCCAAAGCAGAACCTTATAGCAGCACTGGATAGAATCTGGGAGTTGGGGAATTGTGCTGAGGTGCCAGGAATCTGCAGAAGCTCCTCATGGGTCAGTGGCTGGGGCTGTTCCTCATACTTGGGTTGGGATTTCACAGGTCCTAGCAGAGCAGTTGAGAGTGCCACAGAGAGCAGAGTTGAGCATCCTACTGAGATAGTAGGGATCATACAGTATTTGGAAACAGAATTTTGGCTCATCTAGAGTAGAGAGAGCTTGTCAATACCACAGGATAGAGTATCAGCAAAGTCATATCGTGGGTATGGACCACACTGTGGAACAAAGACAATACTTGATTCTCCTAACCAAAGCCTAAACCCAAACTTCCACAGGATTGGGGATACCCATTAGTGAAGTAACAACCTGGCAGAACAAAACTCAAAAGGAGACATCATGACCCAGATTTCTCACAATGAACTGTCAGATGTAGGAGTTGGTATCCTAAAGCTTCAGACCGCATCGTTGTGCCCTGTCTGTGTACACAGCCCATGAACTGGGATGAGTTTACATTTTTAATCTACTGTTAAACAAAAAAGGACAAAAAACGAAGATATGTGACAGCTATTACATATAGCCCACCAAAATTAAAGTATTTACTATAATGGCCCTTTACTACAAATATAGAGAAGCAGGAAAAAAGGACTCACAATCAAGAAAACACAAACAATCAGGAAAAACAGAGCCTAAGATGACAGATTGTGGAATTAGCAGGCAAGGACTTGAAAGCAACTTCCGTAAATATGTTCAAGGTGTTAAAAATTGATTTTAAGGAGTGAAAAAAATGTAGAATTTAACAGAGAAGTGGAAATTATAAAATTGAGCCCAAAATAAATTTGAGAATAATTAAGTACCAGGGAGAAACAACACTTAACAAAAAGAGTAAACTGCTATGCATGACGCGTGTTTCTTACCAGAAACTGTGGAGAGCAAAAACATGGACATATTCAAAGCACTGTCAGTTTCAAATGCTATATCCATTAGAAACATTCTTCAAAAAAGGAGGCTGAAATTAGGACATTTTTATGATAAAATCTGGAAGAATATGTTGTCAGCAGACATGAAAGACATGACATACTAAAGGAAAAACCTCAGAGTGGTGAATTACCAGATGAAAACTTCAATCTGTAGGAAGGTAAAGTAGCAAATATGTAGGCAGATAGAACAGATTAACAGAGTACTTTTTCTGTTTTTTCTAAAATGTGAATGAATGGTTTAAGCAAAAATAATATGGCCAGATAAGGTTTGTATCATATGTAGTGATTAAATATGAAAACAGCAATATTTGGGTATTGTTTTCTTATTGTTGAATGTTAAGTGCTCTTTGTACATTTGTGGTAACAGTCTTTGATCAGGTATGCCTCTTGCCAATGTTTTCTCTCAGCCTGTGGCTTGTCTTTTTACTCTCTTGACAGTGTCTTTTGCAGCGCATAAATTTGTAATTTTTGGTGAAGTCCAGCTTATTCTGTCATGAATCATGCCTTTGTGTTGTATTGAACAGTCAACACCAAATTCTGGATGAACTAGGTTTTTCTTCCGTGTTATATATAACTGTTTTACAGTTTTGTGTTTTATATTTAAGTCTGTGATCCATTTTGAATTAAGTTTTCTAAAGATTCGAAGGTCTCTGTCTAGATGCATTTTTTTTTTTTTTTGCACGCAGATGTCCAGTTGTTCCAGCACCATTTGTTAAAAATGGAACTATAATTTTTAAAATGCTTGCTGTTTATTAGCTTGGTAAATATCCAGCTTAGTTTCATTTGTTTTATACTTTTAATGAATCAATTTTTCTGATTTGTTGGAAACTTTATAGCTAAAATATGGTAAAATTTTTATATGATCTTTTTTGGAGATGTCGACTATAATTACTCCCTTGGGTGATTGATAGATGACAGTCAGTGGCCTCTTCCTATCTAGAATTAATACAAAAACAAAGAAGAACTATTTCTTTCATTTGAAGAAATAAATGGCAGACTTAGCCTAAGAACTCAAGCTGCCTAATATATAGAGCCAGGCATCCTTATTTATATTAAGAATCAATGTATTTCTGTACCATAGAAAGAGAGAAAAGTGCAACTTATAAATGCATTTTTATTTAGTGGAAAAATTAATACATGAAGTTAATATTTTAAGAATAATTCACAAATTGTCTGGGCATGCTGGCTCACGCCTGTAATCCCAGCACTTTGGGAAGCCAAGTTGGGCAGATCATTTGATGTCAGGAGTTCAAGACCATCCTGGCCAACATAGTGAAATCTTGTCTCTACTAAAAATACAAAAATTAACCAGGCCTGGTGGCAGGCACCTGTAATCCCAGCTACTTGGAGGTGGAGATTATAGTAAGCTGAGATTGCACCACTGCACTCCAGCCTGGGGCGACAGAGCAAGACTCAATCCCCCCCCAAAAATTCTCTAACTTTATGTTTTCTTCATTTATTTTATGGATATTTTATGCTAAAATTGGAGTGACAACACTCCACAGTTTGCTTGAACCAATCTCAGCGAATCTGTTGGGCTGAAATAATTGCTAGCCGTGCTGATTTTTACTCTCAAAACTGTATTGGCTTGAACATAAATTACGTGGCACACCATCCTTGGTGCAAGGATGGAATGTCATGTGATGGAAGGAATCACATTCTGGGCTTTCGTGTAGTGAAAAGGCCCAGAGATATACATAACTGTGACAGTGGCTAGCACATAGTAGGTGTTCAGCAAATACTTCTCAAGTAAACAAATAATCCAAAATGGCAAGTGATTTAAATTACAGGCTTTATAATATGATCATATACTCATGTTATATATTTGATCATTGACATTTTTTGTCCTTGTAATTTTTTTAAAAAATTTCAGCCGTTGTTTCATTCATTCTGGAGCTGGAGTTACATTCTCTTGACTTTTGCTGGAAGTCCTAATCTTCTGACACTTGCTTCCCACTTTTGTCCTTACCAGTGGCCCTTACCACCTACCCCTGACATTTACTATGATGTCATTAGCTATTATGTTATTTACTCATATTGACATTTTGACCACAACTGTGATTAAAGACACTAGGTAATTTTTATAATTTTTTGTTTTAAAAATGAAACAACCAAAGCCCAATTTGTATGAGAGTTACTGTCATATGTGTTCCAAATGCAGATGAATAATTTGTTTACATGAGACATACAGTGCTGACTTCACAAATACCTTACACATAATCATCATTTTTTAACTTTATAAATAGCAAAGACTAACAAGTGAATTTAGGGCCCTAGAAATCAATTTTTAGACAGTGTATTAGTCCATTCTCACACTGCCGATAAAGACATAGCCAAGGCTAAGTAATTTATAATGGAAAGAGATTTAATTGACTCACAGTTTAGCATGGCTAGGGAGGCCTCAGGAATCTTACGATTATGACAGAAGGGAAAACAAACACGTCCTTCTTCACATAGCAGCAGTAGAGAGAAGAATGAGTACCCAGCGAAGAGGGAAGCCCCTTATAAAACCATCGGCTCGGGCCGGGCGCGGTGGCTCACGCCTGTAATCCCAGCACTTTGGGAGGCCGAGGCGGGTGGATCACAAGGTCAAGAGATTGAGACCATCCTGGTCAATATGGTGAAACTCCGTCTCTACTAAAAATACAAAAAATCAGCTGGGCATGGTGGCGCATGCCTGTAATCCCAGCTACTCAGGAGGCTGAGGCAGGAGAATTGCCTGAACCCAGGAGGCAGAGGTTGCGGTGAGCCGAGATCGCGCCATTGCACTCCAGCCTGGGCAACAAGAGCGAAACTCCGTCTCAAAAAAAAAAACAAAACCATCGGCTCTTATGACAACTAACTATCATGAGATGAGGATTGAGGAAACCGCCCCCATATTTCAGTTACCTCCACCTGGTCCTTCCCATGACACAAGAGTAGGGGGACTACAATTCAAGATGGGATTTGGGTGGGGACACAGCCAAACCATATCATTCTACCCCTGGCCCTTTCCAGATCTCACATCCTTATAATTCAGAACACAATCATTTCATTCCAACAGTCCCTCAAATTCTTAACTAATTTCAGTGTTAACTGTAAAGTTCAAGTCCATTGTCTTAGCTGAGACATGACAAGTTCCTTCCACCTATCAGCCTGAAAATCAAAAGCAAGTCAGTTACTTCCTAGATACAGAAGAAGTACAGGCATTGGGTATATACAGTCATTCCAAATGGGAGAAATTTGTCAAAACAAAGGGGTTACATGTCCCATACAAGTCCAAAATCCAGTAGAACAGTCATTAAACCTTAAAGTTCCAAAATGATCTGTTTTGACTCCATGTCTCACATTCAGGTCACACTGATGCAAGAGGTGGGCTCCCACAGCCTTGGGCAGCTCTGCCCTGTGGCTCTGCAGGATACAGTTCCCCTTTCAGCTGCTTCCATGGGCTGGCATTGAGTGCAGCTTTTCCAGGCCCACGGTGCAAGCTGTAGGTGGATCTACCATTCTGGGGTCTGGAGGACAGTGGCCCTCTTCTCACAGTTCCACAAGGCAGTATCCCAGTGGGAACTCTGTGTGGGGGCTCTGACCCCACATTTTCCTTCCATACTGTCCTAGCAGTTGTTTTCCTGAGGGCCCTGCCCCTGCAGCAAACTTCTGCCTGGACATCCAGGCTTTTCCATACATCCTCTGAAATCTAGGCGGAGGTTTCCAAACCTCAGTTCTTGACTTCTCTGCTCCCTCAGGCCCAACACCACATGTAAGCCACCAAGGGTTGTGGCTCGCACCCACTGAAGCAACAGCCTGAGTTGTACATTAGCCCTTTATAGTCACTGCTGGAGCTGGAGCAGCTGGTACACAGGGTACCATGTCCCAAGGCTGCATAGAGCAGGAGGAACCCACAAAACCATTTTTCCCTTTTAGGCCTCTGAGCTTATGATGAGGGGGGGCTGTCATGAAGGTCTTTTACATGCCTTGGAGCATTTTCCCCAATGTCTTGGTGGTTAACACTCAGTCCCGGTTACTTAAGCAAATTTCTGCAGCTGGCTTGAATTTCTCCCCAGAAAATGAGATTTTCTTTTCTATTGCATCATCAAACTGCACATTTTTCAAACTTTTGTCCTCTGCTTTCTCTTAAATGCTTTGCAGCTTAGACATTTCTCCCACCAGATACCCTAAATCATCTCTTTCAAGTTCAAAGTTCCACAAATCTCTAGGGCAGGGGCAAAATGTCACCAGTCTCTTTGCGTAGCTAAAGTGACCTTTATTCCAGTTCCCAACAAGTTCCTCATCTCTGTCTGTGACCACCTGGACCAGCCTGGACTTCATTGTCCTCATCACTATCAGCATTTTGGTCAAAGCCATTCAACAAATCTCTAGGAAGACTCAAATCCTCCCACATCTTTCTGTCTTTTGAGCTCTAGGAAGTTCCAACAAGTCTCTAGGAAATTCCAAACTTTCCCACATTCTCCTGCCTTCCTCTGAGCCATCCAAACTGTTCGAATCTCTGCCTGTTACCTAGTTCCAAAGTCACTTTCATATTTTCATGTATCTTTATAGCAGTAACCCACTCTTTCAACGCCAACTTACTGTCTTAGTCTATTCTCATGCTGCCATGAAGAAGTACCCAAGACTGGGTAATTTATAAGGTAAAGAAGTTTAATTGACTCACAGTTCAGCATGGCTTGGGAGGCCTCAGGAAACTTCCATCATGGCAAAAGGGGGAGGAAAGACATCCTTCTTCACATGGCAGCAGGAGAGAGAAAAATGAGTGGCCGGTGGAGGGGGAAGCCCCTTATAAAACCATCAGCTTTTGTGAGAACTAACTCCCTATCACGAGAACAGGATGGGGGCAGCTGCCCCTGTGATTCAATAATCTCCACCTCATCTCTCCCACATGTGGAGATTATGGGAACTATAATTCAAGGTGAGATTTGGGTGGGGAACAACTATATCAGACGACTTAAATCTAGCTTATGCAAAAGGACCTTCTAGTAACAGAAAAGATAGAGAGGAAATGTAATACAGGATCACCAAAGAGAGAAGGAAAAATCATCTACGAACTGCTTGATTTCTGCACTGGAATTTCCCTTCAAAGCACTTTTCCTGACTACAACTAAAAGCAAATGTCATGTCTGGAAACCAGCTCTGAACTCAAGCCAAGGGCAGGCAAAAGTACAATTATTGTTTTTTACTGAAATTAGCAAGCATGGTCTTGTTATGACTAAATAGAACCAGGCATAGTCTTGCCTAAGGACCATTTCAGAAAATTTGGAAAAAACCATAGTGCATTTTAGGCTATGATATCATATCAAGTAAAAGTATCCTTTTTATCCTTTTAAATATTAAAATGACAAATATGGAAGTTCTGGGTAGTTTTTAGAATTTTTTCTTTCATGTATTTCATGTAGGAACTGCCTTTCTTAAACACAAATTGTAAAGATAAACTAATTTCATAATTTGAAATTTTGATTTTTGAAAATCATAATTTCCCTTCTTTTTGTTATCTTTCTTAAATCATTAGGAAATATACAAATGAAAATGTTCTTCTCTTAGTCCCAGAGAATATTTATGCCCTTCGGAGGCAATCCTTTTACTCAACTTCCCTTGAAGTCTTTTCTTAACTCAAATATATGTCTACATCAAAGAAAGGGAACAGTATGAAACATTTGAACAATCCCTGTATATCTGTATAAATAACAGGATTTTCATGGCGCCCCACCTGCGTTCTCACTATGTGATGGTCTCAGTCAGTCTGTCCCTGCCTCCACTCTTTCCTCTATTTATTTCATTTTCTTGTTTCCTGCACCCTCGGTCTCCTTCCAGGTTCCTGTTTATAAGCCCCATCCTCTCTGCCCCCATCTTGTATGTGAAAACTTGTCTCAAAAAACCCTTTGCAGAAAAAAAAAATTATTTAATTCTTCAAATAATTCAGAACTAGAACTTGAAAAGTTTTATATTTTTACACAGCTATTGCTGTGAACTTTGAATAACAACAAATGTGTCTGTGATGTGTGGTCTCTTTTTTTAATACTGTAATGCAGTTTCTTTAGCATTTTCTGAATGTGGCCGCGCCTCCAGCCTT